TTTTTTGAGACAGAGTCTCTATCTGTCGCCCAGGCTGGAGTGCAGTGGCACAATCTCGGCTCACTGCAACCTCCGCCTCCCGGTTCAAGTGATTCTTCCGCCTCAGCCTCCCGAGTAGCTGGGACTACAAGCACACACCACTATGCCCAACTAATTTTTGTATTTTTAGTAGAAACAGGGTTTCACCATCTTGGTCAGGATGGTCTCAATCTCTTGACCTCATGATCTGCCCAACTCGGCCTTCAAAAGTGCTGGGATTACAGGGGTGAGCCACTACGCCCAGCCCCAACCCAAGATTCTTAATGCTTTTGTCTGTACCATTAGATACTCCTATTAGTAATAATAGCTCACTAGTATAAGATTTTTGGTGGAGGTAACAGCAAAAACAAAGTTTGGGGTGGGCTGGGCACAGTGGCTCATGCCTGTAATCCCAGCACTGTGGGAGGTCAAGGTGGGAGGATCATTTGAGTCAGTCCAGGGGTTTGATACCAGCCTGGGTAACATGGAGAAACCCCATCTCTACAAAAAATGCAAAAATTAGCCGGATGTGGTAGCATGTGCCTATAGTCCCAGCTTCTCAGTAGGCTGAGGCAGGAGGATCACTTGAGCCTGGGAGTTGAAGCTGCTGTGAGCTGTGATCATGCCACTGCACTCCAGCCTAGGTAACAGAGTAAGGTCCTGTCTCTCACACAAACATACATACATATACACACACACACACACACAAATGTATGGGGTGAAGGGAGATGGCTAGAGAACAGGTGGGCAGAAGAGTCACATCAAAATTTCTGGCATAACTCTGATATGCACTAGCAGGAGCAAAGGACATGCATCATTTCCACTTGAGAATCAAAATTCAGTAATAATATAACCTGGCATTCACAAATTTGAAAATAAGTTAACTCAAAATTACTAAATACTGTATAGACAAATATGAGGATCACATCAGTTGTTATGAAGCGTATGGCCCCAACAACAGAAAAGTAAATTTATTTTCCAGAAGTGAACTGGCATATATTCATGAGAAATTAAGTTTTATATGCGTATGGATTTCTGTCTTGTTCATTTTATGTCCCAGCACCTAGGACTTCTCCTCTCATATAGTAGGCACTCAAAGGAATATTGCTAATAAATACTGTTAATTAATGTTAGCTGGTTTCTTTTTTAAATAAAAGGAATTGAGAAAATTTTGTTAGCCTTCAAGCAGTAGTCTTCATTTGGTCACTGTAATATTTGGAAAAAAAAAATCATACTATTTCTTCACATTCAAGTTAAAGATACATGGGTAAGAATTTTTTTCACCTGGGTAAAACTTACTGTAGGAATTATACAAAGGTAAGAGTTTTCAGCAATCTTAAACGTGCAAAACTCAGGATCAGCCTCTTAAATACAAGTGACCTGATGATAAAAGTTACTGTCACAGAATAAAGCTGTTATCAATTCAAAAGTTAAAAAAATTTTGAAAGTATAACTCTTGACCGGGTGTGGTGGCTCACACCTGTAATCCCAGCCCTTTGGGAGGCAAAGGCAGGTGGATCACCTGAGGTCAGGAGTTCGAGACCAGCCTGGCCAACATAAAACTCTGTCTCTACTAAAAACACAAAAAATTAGCTGGGCATGGTGGTGCACACTTGTAATCCCTGCTACTAGTGAGGCTGAGGCAGGAGAATCACTTGAACCCGAGAGGTGGAGGTTGCAATGAGCCAAGATTGCACCCAGCCTGGGTGACAAAGCGAGATTCCATTTGAAAAAAAAAAAAAAATTAAAAGAAAAAAAACATAATTCTGTATAGGGTGCGGTGATAATGTTAATAACAAAAACTCATGATTATAAGCTCATGCCTATAATCCCAGCACTTTGGGAGGCCAAGGTGGGCAGATCACCTGAGGTCAGGCATTTGATACCAGCCTGACAAACATGGTGAAACCCTGTCTCTACTAAGAATACAAAAAAATTAGCCAGGCATGGTGGCAGGAACCTATAATCCCAGCTACTCAAGAGACTGAGGCAGGAGAATCGCTGGAACCCAGGAGGCAGAGGTTGCAACCAGCCAAGATCATACCACTGCACTCCAGCCTGGGTGATAAGAGTAAGACTTCATCTAAAAAAAATAAAAATAAAAAAATAATAATAGAAACTCTTACTAATAAAAATTAAATTATAACCATAGACAATTACTTGATATGGTAAGTGTGCAGAAAAGAACTACCATAGCATGCATGGCTGCTTGAAATACTTGCTTATAAGGTTGGTCCTTGGCTGGCATCTGGGACTTGGATTTTGGGAGGATTTCCACCATCCTAACTGATAAGAGGAGCTCACTGAACCTAAACTGTTTGTATAAACAATGTAGTTTATGCTGAACATCTGTTTTCCCTCTGGGAGTGTAGAATTTTGGTTTGTACTAAAGCAGATGGGGTCTATGTGATCAGCCTTCAATCAAAAACCCCGAGCACTGAGGTTCTAATGAACTTCCCTAGTAGACTATATCCTAGATATGTTGTCACACCTTGTCACTGAGGGAATTAGGGACATCCTGTGTGACTCTACTGGGAGAGGATTCATAGAAGTTTATTCCTGGTTTTCTTCAGACTTCATCCTATGCACTTTAGGATTCTCCCTTTGCTGATTTTGCTCTGTTTCCTTTCACTGTAATAAGTCATAGCTATGAGCACAACTATATGCTAAGTCTTGGGAGTTCTCCTGGTGAGCCATCAAATCTAGGGGGTAGTTATGGGATCCACAACCCAGTAAGTATATGCTTAATATATTTTAAGCAATTATCACTAAAAATTAAAACAAAGCCCGGCACAGTGGCTCACACTTGTAATCCTAGCACTTTGGGAGGCTGAGGCAGGCAGATCATGAGATCAGGAATTCGAGACCAGCCTGACCAACACAGCAAAACCCCATCTCTGCTAAAAATATAAAAATCAGCCAGACTTGGTGGCGCACACCTGTAATCCCAGCTACTCAGGAGGCTGAGGCAGGAGAATCACTTGAACTGGGAGGCAGAGGTTGCAGTAAGCCAGGATCGCCCCACTGCACTCCAGCCTGGGCAACAAGAGTGAAACTCTGACTCAAAAAATAATAATAATAATTAAAATAAATGAATTACTACAGGTTCAACTTACCATGAAAGTTAAATCATGTAAGAACAATATTGTAAAAATAAATAAAGACTAGTATTTAAAAAGTCATATATAGAAGTCTTTTACCCTGGGTACAGTGGCTCACACATGTAACCCCAGCATTTTGAGAGGCTGAGGTGTGGAGATTGCTTGAATCCAGGAGTTCAAGACCAGCCTGGGCAACATACCGAGACCCATAATTATAAATAATGAAATAATTTTTAAAAATTAGTCAGGCATGGCTAGGCACAGTGGCTCACGCCTGTAATCCCAGCACTTTGGGAGGTTGAGGCGGGCAGATCACAAGGTTTCAAGACCAGCCTGACCAACAAGGTGAAACTCCTTCTCTACCAAAAATACAAAAATTAGCCGGGTTTAGTGGCGTATACCTGTAATCCCAGCTACTCAGGAGGCTCAGGCAAGAGAATCACTTGAACCCAGGAGGTAGAGGTCGCAGCGAGCCCAGATCGCGCCACTGCACTCCAGCCTGAGCAACAGAAGGAGACTCCGTCTCAAAAAAAAAAAGTATTAGTCAGGTGTGAAGCCCATGCCTGTGGTCCCAGCTACCTCATTTCCCAACAGCTTCATTTCTCGAATTTATCTTAAAGAAATTATTGGTGGCTGGGCACAGTGGCTCATGCCTGTAATCCCAGCACTTTGGGAGGCCGAGGCAGGTGGATCACAAGGTCAGGAGATCAAGACCATCCTGGCTAACATGATGAAACCCCGTTTCTACTAAAAATACAAAAAAATTAGCCAGGCGTGGTAGCAGGCACCTGTAGTCCCAGCTACTCAGGAGGCTGAGACAGAAGAATTGCTTAGACCCGGGAGGCGGAGGTTGCAGCCAGCCAAGATCGCGCCATTGCATTCCAGCCTGGGCAACACAGTG